ATTAAATGAGGAGATATGAGGCGTGTTTGGATTTTAATTAATGGCTTATTTAGTTTATTTGGCATGAGAGAAACCAGATAATCCATGTCGGATGCCCTACATCCAGAGAAAGTATTCTCAAGCGAATTATGTTTCATGTTGCTGAAATGGTTGTGGTGAGGAGATGGAAATTCCATTTTGGTATGAGGACTATCATTGAAAACCTGTTAGTACGAGTGGCTCAAGTCTCCTCTACCTCTATTTCTTTAACATGTTGTGGTCACTTCTTGCACTTGGATGACTTTAATTGAATGTTGATGAATGATCCAGAAAATGTTACTTGCGTATGAATTATTCAGGATCATAATGGGAGATCTTCAGCTGCCTTCTTAGGGGAACATACAAATTATATAGCTGCGAATTGAGTTTTGGGCTGTTTTAAGTATTAGTGATTCAGGTCTCCTCAACCTCAACTTTTTAACGTGTTCTGGCACCTGTTGCATTTGGATAACTTAAATTGAATATGGATGAGGTGGGACAGGTTGTGTAGGAATTATTCAGGATTCTAAGGGGAGATCTGTAGCTTCATCCTTGGATCCTTTTGTAGAAAATACAAATCATACAGCTGATATACTGCTACAGTTCCATGGATATAAAACGTTGCGGCCAGATGCAGTTTTGATGCGATGCGGTTTTGATGCGGCGCATATGAGGCCGCATAACTCAAAACTGCATATGCAGTCTATACAGATGCGGTGCCCATCGTATACCGCATGATGCAGCCGCATATACAGCAATACGGCCATATTTTAAAACACTGCTTCAATTACAAGTAGAGCTTCAGACAAATTTGTCATGAGACTAATCAGGTCACTTCTTGTCTAGTGTGACAAATATTGGGGTTCCCAATCCTATGAGAAGAGGAGCCTCGATGTCATTTTTAATAAAGACAGGGACACCGTTGCAAGTTGGCAAAATGAGAGGGTATAAGAACGAACCGTCCATCTTTAGTAAACTTGCTATATAATAAACTTGATTTGTCCGTATACTTGAGAAACCAAAAAGTAGATATCATCTTGAGAGAGGGAGAGAGTCTTATGAAACCCACATGAAGAAAGAATCCCAAAAGCGAGATAAAAACCAGATCAGCAAAATCTCATCTTGGCTTATATATCCTCTGTTTAAAAAGAAGGAAACATATGAAAGGTGTGTTCTTGGGAGGATATGCATTTACCTCTTCATCCACAGCATATGTATTTGCCTCTTCAGCTGGCCTTCTAACTTTCAATTTTCATAGTGGATTTGATTCTCTCTCTATAAACTAGCCCATAAGGGTGAACCATGTTAAAATTTGTATGCTCGGCACTTGCTTTTATTGTATATCCTGTTGCCACATCTTCATATGCAAAGACACAAAATGAAGTACTTGATATTTGTTCTCAGAGTAGCATAAAAACCCATTGCATGTATCTACGTTCTAACGAGGGCATTCATAGAGCCCAACAAATGGTATCAGAGCTGGCTGTGTGCACTTCCTCTAAAAACCATAGATCCTTGACCACTTATGCTTGGAAGAGATCTTCTACTCGGAACATATCTTCTGGAGCCGTGTGAACCATGGACAAAGTGATTCTAGGGCACTGGTGGCATCATTGAATTATCAATGAGAAAATTTGACCAATGGTGTAATATTATACAGTGGACCATCATTGAATCCAATTTAGGGTTTTGTTCGATTTTCATGTGTGCATTTCCGATAATATAAAACTAATTAACAAATAAAAGTAAAATGCACAAGAAGTAAGAAAACCCATCTGTTCAATTAAGCAAAGAAAATGCTTGCAAATTGTGTTCGTAATTTCCTGGATCCGGTTAGGTAGATCGTCTTAAACCATCTGTCTTAAGATATATATTCCACAAAATCAGCTTGGGCGTGAATGGTTAGCAATTAATATTAGCAACCCTACAGCTCAAATTTGATTCCTACCACTAAACTATCCAAAACAAAGGATGTATATTCCTCCATCACGTTTGCCCTTTATTGTGCATGATTTAAGAATATCCCCCTCAGCACCCTTTCCCACACCACACTGTTTTCACCCATGCTTAAAACTACATCTTCCCTTTTCTTGTAGGATGGGTCAGGGAAACCTCATGTGGGGAATTAGCCAAACGACTATAGAGCATAGAATGCTTAAGTGAGATTTTGAATCAGGCGGGCATTTAAGAAGGGGTATTTTTCTAAAGTGCGTTAGCCCTAAGGAACCTAGGGTAGTCAACAGCCTATAGTTTACTATGTCCTCACGTTATTGTTTATCGCGCAACTACAAGGGTCACCTTTGAGTCTTTTTTCAATGAATTACGAGATAACCTAAGAGTCCTCTTATGGTTCTCCATGAAATGGCCACCCATTGCATCGGTCTTTGAAACTCAGCCTGAATACTACATCACATCACAATACTTGGAAACAAACTGGAAATTCTCTCTCAATATAAGGTATCTACTTAAGGTAAATAACCATGAAAAAGGTCTTAATAGTCATGAATGCAATTATTGTTGTTCTACTGACAAGCAATATCCAAGAAAATGCAATTTTCATCTAAACTTCTACGAATTGAACATATGAAATTTCAAGGACAAAGCATATAGTGACTACCGAACACATTGATTGTGTCCAAGTGCAGCCTAGGATCCAATGAGCACTATACCTTGATCACTGACAAATTCCACCACCCCGAATGTCAAAACCCTAAGAAGCATAGCCATCTCATGAAACTTAATAACCAGTGTTCCAAAAAATGATGGAAGATGCCCAGGCAGCCTTGAGGGTCTAGGCCTAACTGGGCGCTTAGGTGGACATCTAGAACTGGGTCAGCCTAAGTCCAAAAGGGGGTAAGGATTGTCCAGTAATCTTGTTTTAGGTCCATATATTGTATAAAAAATACATATTCATGCATTTTTTATAATTAAAAAAAACCCAAAAATACCCCTGGGTATTTTTTGCACCTAGGCAGGTGTAGTCCCCTGGGCGGCGCACACCTAGATGGGGTACTAGGCGGGCGCCTAGAGTCACCTAGAACAACCCGCCTGGTTGGTCTGCCCAAGCTTAGGCGATGGGCCCAGCCCGCCTAGGTGGCCACCTAGGCACCGGGTGGACAGCTTTTTGAATTGATGTAAATACTAACTCAAAAGAAACCAAATAGTTGGTAGGACAATGCCATCTTGCTACAGTTTAGCAAGGAGATGCAACAGTAAACAAAACAAAACAAACAAAGAAAAGAAAGGAAAGACAGGTTAAGTTAGGCTTGCTCAGGACGCAAGACTCTATTTCTTATAGTAGAAGAATAAAGAATGAGTTTGCTTGCATTATATATCAAATTGACCTGATATCAGGGAACTGGTTTGCTATAATATTGGACTAACTCATATCCACACTCAAAACTCTCTCCTAAAATCCATTTCGGTTGGAGCTGCTATTCATCATACAGCACGATCAGATCTTCATAACACAGTTGTTGGTATGGAAACCAATAGTTACATGTGCATAAACAAATTTATTGAAACAGTTGGTGATCTCAATAACTATGCCAATTTAATCAAACAGTTGGTGATCTCAATAACTATTCCAATTTAATCAAACACCCAACTCAATCATCTTAAAGATTCAAAAGATTAAACTGCAGTAAACAACACTAGTTACATGATTACTCAACTCAATTAAGTATCCGCAAAACGGGATCTCCTTCCTCCGAGTCAAGAGAAAGAAATAAAAGTGGAGTAAGGAACAGGGCTCTTATATCTTAGAGAGAGAGAGAGAGAGAGAGAGAGAGAGACCTATCTGCCTCTTTGAAGGGCCTTCTCAGCCGTATCCATCTCTTCTAGAATGCGTGCCTTGCGCTTAGCCGGAATAGGGGCAGTCGGTCCAAAGCTTATGTAATGACCAGAAACAGCATTGAGAACAGAGTACATATCTCTAAAAGAAGACCTACCCAACAACTCTTTCTCTCTCCTATACTTAGCCACCCATGAATTCGAGGCCTCTCTCAATTCAGCAACGGCATCGGCCACATTGGGGTCTCCTTTCTCCATGTTAATGGTATTTCTCACCTTATTTATCACATCCTCTGTTTCTCTCACGTACTCTTCATCAGAAGCGGCCAGTGAAGTCGCCGGAATCGCCACGGACAAAAGAATTCCTGATATGGTCGAGATTGCGAGGCTTCTCCTGGAGGTGGCGCTCAAGTTTGCAGTGGTTGGGTTGGGGTTTTTCAGGGAGAGGAGTGAGAGAGGGGTTGGGTTGTTTAGAGAGAGGGGGGTTGGAGTGCGAGGGGGAGTTGGAGCGATGAGATGGAGTTTGGGGGTAGGAGAGAGAAGAGAGGAGGGAGAGGAAGCCATTGTTCAAGAAGAGAGAGAGGTTCAGAGAAAGAGAGAGAGGGCATGGTGAAGGTTTGTGAGAGCCACTTGGTCCATTGGAGCTTCAGTTTTGCCACGTCGGCTTATCGGCTTATCCTTTCTCTCCACGTCATTGGAGCAGGGTGCGGTGCCATTGCATTGGACTTGCCTCTTTTTCATTCGTGGCCATGCAGGAAAAATCGAATCGGAGCCCTTTACTTGCAACTTTTTCATTCGCATGGAGGAAAAATCGCATAGGAACTGGTAACCGTAACCGGTTCAACCGGTATAAATCGAGCAAGTACCGGATAGTTAAAAAAATGTTAAGAAAATAAAAAATATCAAAACTTAAATAAAGTATCAAAAATATATTTAAAACATGATTAAACAAAGAAAATCCAAATGAAGTTGAAAACTAATATAAAAAAATGGATTTGTGCTTATAGGTATTTTTATAATTTTTAAAAATGACTGTAAAAATAAGTATTAATGGTCAAAACAATTTCCAATCTTTGCCAAAATGGTAAAAAATATTAAAAAATACGTTACAAATAAAATCTTTTTCTTTGTTTTTTTTGGAATTTTATACAATTTGTTTTGAATTCTTTTTTAATACCTGGCCGGTTCACCAAAATCGGTCAAGATCAGAATCGGCCAGTAGCCGGTTCCGATCTAACCAGCGGTTATGCTTTGAGCCGCTCGATTTTTCCTACACTGTCCATGGGCATGGGGGAAGGACTCACGGTTATAAGTTGCACATTTGGTTCCACTGCTGGATTATTGAATTTGTTTTGGTGAAATGATATTATTTACTACTGATACAAGGGTGTCATAATTATTATCGGCCATTATATTTGAAATCAAGTAGTCAAAGATGTATCATTGTTTGGGAACTAAGTCTAAAATAAAATTTTTTTGAATAATGTGACATTTTTACCTTTTAGATTTTACATTCAATGGCCAAGAGCAATTGTGACATTTTTGTACCACACATAAATAGTCTCATAGTATATAATATCATCTTTTTAAAACTAAAGCATACAAAGAGACCATTTATTTTTAACACAAGAAAGTCAAAATCACTACCGTCCTTTAAATTTCAAATCAAGTGGTTGTGAGCCAATCATTGACTGGACTCAATATTCAAAATTATTTTCTTGAACTTTGTGATACGCTGTAAAATATAATAGCAATGCTGTAAAATATAATAGCAATGACTAATTGCAACTTCTTTGTAACAAAGATAAATGGTCTCATACTATATAATCCCTTCTTCTTCTTTTTTTAACATAAACTTTTTAAGGGCAACTGGAATCTAAAATCAGAATCGTAGATTTCTAAGTATTTGAAAACGCAGAGAATTGACTACCTGGTAATTGAAAATACTATGTCTGGTCAACTAGTCTAAAATAATGGTTTTTGGAAAACTATGTTTGGTTTAAGCTAAAATGTCGTAAATTAGGGGATTTGAAAATTAGCGAATTTCAAGTATTCATTAAAGTTTTCGTTAATGAGATGGTAGTGGTTATTAAATGATTTGAGATTTCGAAATTATAGTTCATCCAGGGGTAGCAAAATAAACGCTAAGTAAAAAAAAAAAACAATAGATAAGGTGAGAGCATGTCTTAGTACATCAAATTAAGCTAACATCTTTGGGCTTCTATACTTTTCACCCTCGGCACCTATAAAGAATATAGAAAAATAAGTCGAGAAAAATATAATGATTGAAATATCTTAACTGATGGTTGACAATATTTGAATTTTATTTTATTTTCTATACATTGGATTGAGTTAAAATGTGTCTATGTTTTTTCCTATCATGCACTAATAAAAAATATAAAAGAAAAATTACCTCCATATATAAAAATAAATATGGAATACCGAAAGGTCTATGGTTTGTCAAATATTACGAACAAGTCCGTCCCCGCACATTTTTCCTAGTTGCCCCTCAGTCTAATTTTCTAAATATAGGACTAGTTTTAAAATTTTCAGTTTCAATTTTGCTAGAACTTAGGGGTGTGACCTACGTTTGGGGTCTCACTTCGGGACCAATTCGAAGTATTAGACATCGAATAGCCCCAAAGTTGACAATTCGATGTTGGAGACATCAAACTTTTTGTTAATTGACCAGTCTGATATTTCTAACATCGAACCTATTTGAAACTTATATTAATGGCCATGTCCGATGCTTCTAAATCGTACCAGTCGGAAACTTATGTTAATACAACTTATTTTAAATATGGGAGAAAGATAGAGGCGGGTAAAGAGAGAAAGATAGAGGACGGGTAGAGAGAGAAAGAGAGATAAAAAGAAGATGGGTAGAGAAAAAGAGGAGAGAGAAAGGAGAGAGAGAGAAGTAGAAAGAGAAAGTGAAAAAGAGGATTGGTAGAGAGAAAAAGTGTTGCATAAAAACACATGACTACAAAAATATGGGAGAAGTGAGAGGAAAATGGTATTTGCATCTCAATTTTATTGACTTTTAAATTGGAGGGTTAAATACAAAAAAAACAGTGTTGACGTCTAGAATACAAAAGATTTCGGAGAGAGTTGATTTTTAGAAGTATCTACAGCTTTCCCTTAATTTAATATGAACTACTAAGTCTACATGGAAAACTTTTTAAAGCAAAGTGCAGCCTTGCTCACTGTAGAAGAAACCTTGTTTGCGGCCAAAAGGATTTTTTTTTTTTTTCATTTTTTGACGAGTAATTGCACCCAAAAGTTTCATATCATATTTATTCATCTTATCTGTTGTATTCCAAAGCACTATCATTTCGTGCCCTGAAAATGATCAGGTATGCCAATGCCATTAGTGATGCTGGGCTGCTTATTTGATGGAGTTTTCAAAGCTCAAATTTAGTTCTTTTCCTTCATACTGAAATTGTTCACCAAGTTAATCAGAAAAGTTTTGAACACTTGGAGATTTTAAAAAAAAAGGTTCAAGTCTTCTTTCCCGAGAGACCAAGTCTACATTCGGTAATCATTACTATGCATTTGATGCACCCACGTTTGATATTTTAAAAGTTCACTTGCGATAATAAAAGTATCAAATGAGTGAGGTTGATGTCATATGACATAACTAATACAAGCTTCAAGTTTGATAATTTAAAGGAAAATGTTTTGATAGTTTGATAATTTAAAGGAAAATGTTTTGATAGAGCTGAAGCCCTGTCACACTCCAAGTTTACTACCATTCTCGAGGTGCAACAGACAATTCTTATACTATCTATATATTGAACAAATATAGAATTTCTACTAGTATATTCTAATTTGCACCAAACAATGTAATTTTAATCTGTACAAATTCTGTCTACAACCGATATTAACATGAAGACTAGATAAACATATCTTGATAGAACAAAAATTACATCAGTGCCTTTGATCAAAAGTTACAAGGGGAATGTCAATCATGCCTACACATTCTTCAAAGATAGTCCTGCTGCATTCAAACTATGAGACTGCAAGTTACCCTGAAAATATTTACCATAGTTTGGTAAGTTTGGTTACTCAGTAAGTGATCATCATGGTCCTAAAAAAAAATCATGGTTAGAAGATATAAACATTTTCTGAAGAATGTATGTTAAAAACAACAATTGCGAGCAAAAACATTTATAGATAACAATTGCACTTTCATAAATACACAGTTAAACATAATCCAAATGATTGAAATGCACATAAACATTTTAACAAAAATGCATAACTCATAGGATTTCACCAAATACCCTATTGGCATCCCAAGTAGGTCACCCATATACCCCATCAGCGTCCTGATGGGTCCAAACAACCCCTGCAGGTCTGAACATACCTCACCGGCGTACCGGATGAGTCCAAGTAGCTCCTACCGGATATGTCTAAATAATCCCTACAGGTCCAAACATACCTCACTGGTGTCCCGGATAAGTCCAAATAGTCCCTACAGGCGTAACCAAATAGGTCCTAACAATCCCTGCAGGTCCGATCATGCCTCACCGGCGTCCCGGATGAGCCCAAAATGTCCCTACCGACTAACCGGATAGGTCCTAACGATCACTGCAAGTCCACTTATACTCAAATTATCTCTGAAACTCTTTAAACATCAGAAAGCAACAATATCATATATGCGAAGTATCATTGAAAACATTAACATGAATTCACTTGAAGCAATTTAATAACAATCACTTCTATTGAAATATCTCTAAGTAGCCATTAAAACATTTTATGCAATAATTTTTGAAAAGTAACAGTTCTGAAGGACATTCTTGAAATCTAACACGATAACAGTCCAATATCAATAAAAGAACCCTTATGAGAATCCAAAATTAAATACAGAATTATCACAATTTATGGAATTGTCAATTCGTAAATAATCGTTTCATAGGTATTACTACAATCAAGTGCAAAAATATCAGTTTTTCAAATAGTGAAGAAGTCATTTGCACATAAATTTTACAATGTCTAAATATTCAAAATAGTAAAAGGAAATCTCATAATTTTACTAAAAGCGGAAATATCACATTTATTTTTAATAATTTACAATATTTAAAATTCTAAACAATTGACAAGAAAATTAAATTTATTTCTACAAAGTTACAGCGTTTAAAATACCTAACAATAGATAAAATATCACAAATTTACTAAAAAAAAATGGATTAGTTTTCAAGACAATGAAGTCATTTACACACAAAACTTATAAAATAAAGATCCTGGACAGAAATATCACTATTTTTTAAAAACAGACTATTTTTCAGGAAGATGATGTCACTGACCCACAAAACTTATTATTGTCGATTTGGTGTTTGCTTGATTGATTAAAGCATAGATACTCAGATTCCCAAGCTTCACAGAGAAAACTTGATTCCCATAATCTATGTCAAAACCATCAATCTTGAGTGTAGTCACCTTATTCTTTTACACTTCGTATACATGAAACTTTTAACACATGCTGCTGATAAATGAGGAACTATCAAATGTATGGCCATCAACTGTGACTGTAGCCTTAAAACGAGGGGTATGGTCTACAATCTTTCTAACACAAGAATAAATAGGCATATCTAGACCTTTCGTTTGCACAAATTCTTGAAGCAGATTCTCATATAAATATTTTCCACCATTAATGTTTATTGAAATCAAAGTATTATTCGAAGACCCCAAGCTTGAACGTTCTAATCGTTGTGCTTCTCTCAAAGATGACT